AAAAAAAAAAAAAAATAAATTGTTGGATCAGATTTTTTTCCTGATAGGTTGCATTCTTTCAGCATTCCCCTTAAAGTTTGTGATTTGGACGTTGTCCTCATTTTGGTATAAAAAATGTCATTGGAAACTTTCCATTTTGGCACATCAGGTGTTAGAATCATCATGTCTTCATAAATTGGCTATAGACAAAGTCTCATGTCGTCAGCTCCTTTCTTCAGTATCAGGCATTCTTTAATCAATGTAAGTGTCGAGCATTGCATGAGTAGGATACTTATTTCTATTTACATGAATTGATGGGCAAGTCGGGCATTTTTTAGTCGACTTAAAGGTCAAGCATTGCATGTATAAGATATCTATTTCTGTTGAATTCAATTGATTGGCAGGTACACCTGGTGACTGGAGTCACATTATCAAGCAGATTGGAATGTTTACTTTCACGGGACTTAACTCAGAGCAAGTTGCCTTCATGACCAAAGAGTACCACATCTACATGACATCAGATGGGTAATATGTCATTTCTCAGCAAAAAGTACTGTATATCATATCAGACTACCATGTCTCCTCCACATCTGATATGTGATTTTATTACCTCGTAAGAATTTCTACCCTCGGATGGTAAAACAGAAAGAGGGAAGGGAGTTAAAATCTTTTCAGCCATCAGTTAGTTCTTTTCTTGCAGTATTCTTGCTACCTTAGCTTTGATGAACGCTAAGAGAAATGTGGCTGTATTAATGAACATTTCTAGAGCATGGTTCTTTCTAAGTTTGTATTTAATTGTGGCAACTTCAATTAAGCTTGGGATATCAGATAATCCCAAAGCCTTTGACATACATCACATATTTCATTTTGCAGACGCATCAGTATGGCAGGTCTGAGCTCCAGGACAGTTCCACATCTAGCAGATGCCATACATGCTGCTGTCGCTCGGGCTCGTTGAGTTTGTTACTGCCTACTACTGTTTCCTTCCGGTTCTTCTGAGTTGTTCGCTGCTATCATTCTGGTTGACTGACCGAGTATCTTCTGTTGTTCAAGTAAATTCGATTGCAATTCCCTCTCTTTGCGGGTATATGGTCGTTCAAGCGTAATAAGTGGTTTCCTCTTAAGTTGGAGTTTTGGGATAAACCTATATTTGTAATAACTAGAATAAACAGTGTTTGTTTAATGTAGCAATCCTCTTTTAATAATCTCTCCAGTCTTAGCTGCTAAATAGGTCTATAAGCGTACGTACAATTGTTACAACCAATTTCTCTTATTTTAATGAAGTTAAAACTCATTTGATTATCATCTTATCTTAGTTAAGCTTATCTCCCAGAATTGACACATTCTGCGCTTCAACAGTAGTATTTTGAATAGTCTGCATTAGTTGAAACATGGGTCCATCGGGGAACTTCATTCGCCTTGTTCTCTGTTTAGGTCCATTGCCTCTTTTTTCTCTTTCTTCACCTCCATCGAAAGAAGTAAACTTTGGGCTGATGAGTTGCTTAATATTTCTTTGGAAGAATTCTAGTCGACGTTTCTGATTCATGTCTTGCTTGCTGAAGGATTCGTGAACTTGCTACGAGCATTGAAAGTATTTGGGTCTCATTCTTGCTATCAAAGTAAATCTCAAGAAAGAGGAATACAATTACATGTGATAATGGAGTCTGTCAATGGGCGGTGGCGTTATTTGATAGGTGACGGAGGCATTTGAACACCGAACCTCTGAATGATGTAACTCTACTTTGTAACCCATTTTGGGTGAATTATTGATGAATTATATTTTGGTTTAGACTACATGTAAACTTGCACTAAAATGACACATGATAATAGAACTATTCTAAGTTTACCACCTTTTACCTGTAAGATAGGCAGTAGGGCACAGTGATTAACCCATACATTTGTCAACTTGCACTAAAATGACACATGACAATAGAACTAGTCTATTCCGTGAGTTGCTAATTTTTTCTCACCCAAATAAATCTACACTATCATGCCTCTTGCAAAATGAAGCTTCAAGAAAAGGCTTGTACAAATTGGTTTCCTTATTTAGCAAATGGAATTAAAGCAAAATAATGTTAAATGAAATAATAATGTCTAATCCATATCTTTTGACAAACAATTGGACAAGTATTTGTATATAAGGCCAAAAAATAAAAAAATAACCACAGGTATACCGATATTTATATATATTACAGCGAGAAGTTCTACCCTGAAACTTGCTGCTACCTGCAGCCTTTCAATAGGTAGGAGGAAGGACTTGCAAAACTGTTGTTGCTGGTGCAAAAAATTTCAGTTTCCTTTCCCTTTCCAGGGGATCCACATTCACTGAAATCAAGAGTACGCCTCTCACTCTGCAAATGAACAGACAATAGGAAAGTTAAAAATTTCAGTTATCTTGACTAGGAATTTACAGATGAGCAGCTTCCTAATTTTTCATCCTTCAGGCCCACTTAGGCTGAGAAACTTTGAACATGACCAGGAATTTACAAGAAAGCTGTTACTGTAATCCAAATGCCTCATTTTCATTTCGGAAAACGGCCAAAAATGTCCCTAACCTATTGTAAATGGCTCACAGATACCCTTCATTAACCTTTTGGTCTAAAAATACCCTTAACGTTTTCTTTGAGTTCAAATATGTTACTAGGAATTTACAAGAAAGCTGTTACTGTAATCCAAATGCCTCATTTTCAATTCGGAAAACAGCCAAAAATGTCCCTAACCTATTGTAAATGGCTCACAAATACCCTTCATTAACCTTTTGGTCTAAAAATACCCTTAACGTATTTTTGAGTTCAAATATACCCCTAAAACTGAAGGAATTCTGTTATAACTAACGGCTCAAGAAATTAAACCCACAACTCCCTTAATCTCTTCGTATTCTGCAACTCCATGTTTTTCTTCTTCGTAAATTTCCTTACTCCAATTTTATTTTGTCATAATCTCTTATCATTTTTGCATAAAACTTTATTCATTTGTACTAAAATTTTGTTTCTTTTGTCCGATAATTATGTTTTACCTTTGCCAAGCGGAATTCCAGTATTTTTGGGCTAGTTTTGGTGCTTAGCATTCACGGAAGACTCCCTACCTGTGATGAATTCATGAATAGCATGCTCAAAGTCATCACTGTATTCATGAATAGCTCCCTATTTTGACTATCTTTTATAGGTACTTCGGAGTTGACTTTCAAAAACCATTAAGTCATCATAGATGATAAAGAATGTAATTTGCTAACTCCATCAATTTGTAAGTCTTTCTTTCTTTCTATTTTTTAAAGTCAACATCTTAATTAATGAATCTGCTAATTAGACAATGTAGAATTGACCAAATTTCGATAGAATGGTATCATTTTGAATATAACCAAACACTGGGCTGGGAAAAAAAATGCATGTACCAGAAACTTAGAATTCATGGATCGGTATCATTTTGAATATAACCAAACACTGGGATGGGAAAAAAAATGCATGTACCAGAAACTTAGAATTCATGGATATTTATGAAGAAAAGGAAGCTCACTTGGCTGAAGAAGACAAAATGGAGTTGCAAAACAGGAAGAGGAAATGGGTTATGAATTTAAGTTGAATTTAACAGGTAATCGTCAACTGGATTGAATTTACTAATAATGGGTGGACTATATCTGTTAGCTTCAGGGGTATATTTGAGCCCAAAAAAAATGTTAAGGGTATTTTTAGACCAAAAGATTAACGGAGGGCATTTGTGAACCATTTTAAATAGGTTAGAGGCAATTTTGACTCTTTTCCGTTTTCATTTTATATGGCGGTGTTTGACTAGGCACGAAAGTTTAAGAAAGAAAGAAAGAAAGAGACTTTGACACATACTGAAAGTACCCTTAAAGCTTGTAGTCTAAAACTTGCCATGAGATTTTAAAAATCAAAAAAATTTCAAATATAGAAAGGTGTCATCCTTTTGGTACAATGAAAAAGGAAATAGTGTCATGTAAAGTGGAAAAAAGGGGGTATATTATTATTTCTACTCGAATAACAGTATTTTCCTTCAATTTCATTTTTGTGGAGTTTTTTTAAAATAAAAATCGATGAGGAAAGAGATGTTAAAATTCTCAAAAACTGCATAATTACTATATCTGAAAACACATAATGAATTAGAATAGGATATTAAAAGTTTGTCGTTGCTGGGCACAACAATGGGATTGGACATACCATAACATTTGCTGACAAAAGAGAATGATTTTCATCTGCTTTCTGGTTTTTGGAGTTCCTCCCCCGTAGGATCGACTCTGGAGTTTCACCTCCCAAGACCTCCTGGGCATCTGCAAATGCCCCTGCAGTCTGCTCACTCAATTGCTTCATTAATCCAATAGCATCATAGCTTCTGTCACCTGGGCTCATAAACAGCGCAAGATCCTACAAAAGTTTCAAAGTACTTAAGTGTGAGCATGGAATTTCAACATACTAAAAGAGCAAACGTAAAGATATTAGTCACACAATAGAACATATAATGTAATTTACTAAATCCTGTTTACCTCAAAATTAAGTTCATTATCAAGTCTTGGGCTTGACAGAAAAGAGTTGATGAACCATGGAGATTTCCAAGCTGAAGGAGATTCAATACTCCTTTTATAAGGCGTTTCTCCAGATCTGATATGAATAGGGTCAATGGCAATTAAATTTGTAGGCCCAGAAATGCAACGTGGAAAGGATGAAGAGAAAACAAAGGAGAAAGCATAGGGTAAAATGCTTCAACGGTCTTACATGCTTACAGTCTCAGCGCCAACTCCATTTCCTGAAGTTTCAGCTGAGTTGTCCAAGGCTGTTGGTGCTGGAGCAGATTGCATTGATGTAGTGATGACAAAACTACTTCCGTCTTTCTTTCCACGTATACGAGGAGAGCAAATAACAGAAAAACATGAAGTCTCAAATGAAGATGAAACAGAACCTTGATTTGATGCAGCTTCGAGTCGTCTAGCATACTGATTTCCTAGAGCTTTACTGCAGAGATTTGTAGCTCTACCAGACTTGGCTCCAAAACGATCAGGAGAGAAGAACAGGTCACTTGCGTTCAGTTCAACCAGAACTCCAGAAGGTTGTTTTATCTGAAACAAGCAGAGCATAAAAGTTATATCCAATTAAAGGATTCTCTGTCTAACAATTTGATCGGGTCTTACGAACACATCCGAATAAACATACGGTTGTCATAACCATATTAAAACTGTCGATGAATTTAAGCATCAACCGAAAATTAGATTGACTATAAACAAGATGTTACAGTATCTTGCAACAAGACTATAAGACTAGATTGACTATAAACAAGATGTTACAGTATCTTGCAACAAGACTATAAGACTAAAGCACCAGCACGTTAAGAATAATGGAAACAAAGGAAACGGAGACAGTCAGGATGCTTGAACAGAAAGGAAGGAATTTCTCAACATAGAGCTNGACTTTCTCAACATAGAGCACCAGTTTTTTGGTTGTATAAATTTTTCATTAAATTATTTTCGGATATTTAAAATCGATTGGTAATGCTAAATACTGACACCACCACCATTCTCAGAAAACACAAAGTGGTGCCAAAGGAAAAAAATATGACTCAACTCACCTTTCCAATTGCACTATTGGCTCCACCCTTTGTGCCCTTCCTTGTTACTTTCTCTTTATAGTGAACTTCACCTCCATCTAACTGTCTCTCGCTGGAAAGTCCATTGCGTACCTTGTCCTCCTCCTTACTTCCATCTTCAGTTGGATTTATGTTTTCTTTATCTTCAGATGAAGCTTGAAGTTCCAACGTCTGATCCATAGTTAGAGAAGACTTTGTTGCTTTTTCATTTGCAGCCTCGTCAAACATAACATCTAGTCGAGAAAAATCCTTAGACAGATCAGAGAATGATTCTTGACGGAGATCACTTCCAAGCTTCTTTTCACATCTCTTTTCTGACAAAGGTGACACCAAATCACGGTGTCGCTTCTTTAATATGGAAGGTGTGCTGGTGAAAGTTTTGGCAGCACTTCTCAGGACAGCATCTGGACTTCCATCTCTAGATGGTGAATCCCACAGCCTAAATGGAGTAAGACAGTTCACAGAAGTCATCATCAACTGGCGGATGCCAAGAGGGCTATACTCTTGCTGTGCATCTGCACCAGATTGTATAAGATCACAACTGAAAAATGGAATGTCCAAGCTCGGAAAACGAGGAGGCTCATAGTATAAGGCTCCTCCATCCTTCTGCTCTTCTGGTACGCTCGAATTTTCGTTCACCAATGGACATGTTTGAATAGTATTTGAAGGAGTTGTGCGAAAATCATTGACAGAAACTAGCTGTAGAGAATCTTTAGTTTGATCCAGTTGCTCTTCCAGGAGAGGATCGTCCATTATGTTGTCACAAGGAGTACCAGATTCAAAGGGATATAGAAAACCATCAGAGTTACTTGTGTGGGACTCCTGTGCTGGGTTTCCCTGCGATGGATTATGAAAGTGATTTGCGGCAGTACCAAACATGAGTGAGCTTTGCTCTGAAGAAAACTGTGAAGGAATAGAAAATGGTTGACCGGATGAAGTTCCCATAACATGTGAACACAGAGGGTTGCAGCAATTCTCTATAGACATATTTCCACCTTCAGAGATCTGATAGTTCGACGATTGGCAAATCAAAGAATCTGCAGTTTCATCAGCACCGTTCATACCAGTTTCAGAGGGAATGTATTGTGGAATTCCTGCCTCAGGGTATACCATCCCGCAACCCTCCACAGAGGTAAACATCTCATTGGGCTTATCTAAACCCACAACCATGCTTCCGACATTAGTCATTTCATACTTCACTGCATTTTGCTGTGGAAAGGTAACCATTTCGTGATTCCCATTACCAGTTAAACACTGCATGAAGAGCCCTGAAGAATCCTGCATCAACTCCAGCGGAGAAATATTAGGTATGTCATCTGGATTAAACTGCCATTCTTTTCCCATGGATGCTGCCCAGTCATGTGAGAAGTTATGCTCCAGGAGCTTGGATTCGTCAAGTTCACTAGGCACTTCTGCCATTGAAAAGGTAATATCTTCAAAGGCTGGGGTATAGTATTCAGAGCATGGTGCTGAACTGGAGCTTGGGTCCTTCCTATAATTTGAATCCTCCAGCAACTTGCCCTCCTCTCTTGTATGTACAAATGTATTGCCCATGTCACTTGTAGACTGGGAACAGCCTGCAAGATTTGACCCTTGACTGCATTCTGAAGCTTCCTCCATTTCGATTCCTTCTTTACGAACACTGTCATCTTCACTACTCTGTTGCAACTTCGTCGAAGAAGGGATTGATTGGTTCTGACGGTTGACATTAGGCAGAGAAGGGAACTGTGCAAGTAAACCGGATGCCAAATACGAGTCCAATTTCTTTTTGACAGAACTATTCCAGTGATTTTTTATTGCATTATCTGTCCTGAAAATTGTAGCAAAGTCTTTACATGTCACATAGAATAGTGTAGGAATGCTCAGTGATGACAACTTAAAAAGAAAATGGAACCAAAACAATCTCTTGTTCTATAAAGAGAGTGGCCAACAGCTTGAAAGTACCTTCCAGGCAAATACTTTGTTAACTCTGCCCATTTATTCCCGTAAATTTGGTGGGCGCGAATCAGAGTCAACTCCTCCTCCTGCGTCCAAGCTTCCTTGTTTATTCCAGGATTCAGATGATTGTGCCACCTGGAAAGATCACTCTTAATAGTTATTATAGCAAATTCACTAATATAAGAGAAAAAAAAATTTAGAGCTTCATATTCTTGAGAAACAACAACAACAACAACAAACCCAGTGTAATCCCACAAATGGGGTCTGGAAAGGGTAGTGCGTACACAGACCTTATCCCTACCTTCAAGAAGGCAGAGAGGCTATTTCCGGTAGACCCTCAGCTTAGGAAAGGTAAAAGGAAGGGCAACAACAAGCACACCAATCAGAAAACCGAAGCGAAAATACAAAACTAACACTAGGTACTTCAATCAGAAAACCGAAACAAAAGCAACAACAAATAATAACAGAAGTCAAAGAATACGAAAATACACAAGTGACACCTAGTCATGTACTAAAGCTACTGTTACAAACAAGGACAACGCTCTGCTACAAACAGTCACCTGCAATTTCAATTATGCTAAAAGAAAATGGAAGGCAAATGACACCAGAAAACTCCTATGAGATCTAAGGACATATGTAGTGCCAAGGGCATATTTCCATGAAAAAACAAATATTCTTCTACGGAAAGAACAAGATGCCTCTTATCATGCCATTGACATACATATCTATAATTTATGGAGACTTGTCAAAGTATAAGTTGAGGAATAGCATCTAGCAGTTAGTGAAAATGGTTAGGATGGGAAAACAGCAATCAAGTTGGTTAAAAAAATGTTCATTGTGAGCTGGCTGCATACGGGGGGCATCTTATGAGGTTAAGAGGGTTGCTAGGAGTGTAAATTTCTCATTTAAACTGAATTAAACAAGTTAGGAAGAATTAGGAAGTTGAAATCCCACAAGCTGCCTCACACAAACTCTCGTAGTCACAGCAGAAATTTGGAGAAAATTGACACTAAACAAAGTGAAAAAAGAAGAGCAATACATATACCATTTAGGAAACAAAAGAATCAACTACTTGCTTACCTTTCTCGACATTGTTTTCCAATACGTCCCGGCAAATGTTGAGCGATGGTGGACCACTTTTTGGGGCCATATTTCTTAACTAATTCAACTATTACTTCATCCTCCTGCAAGTAAGTCAAAAAGTAAAATAGTTAAAAGCAATATAAAGGACATGGATGCCGAGTGTTCCAGAATAATCACATATTATGCAAGCATATGAACTTACCTCTTTAGACCATGGACCTTTGACAAGTTCAGGATTAAGAACTTTCTGCCACCGGTGCAAGCATTGTACATCAGTCCGGTCTTTAAAACATTCCGCTGCATGGAGTAAATTTCTCAGATCAGTACATCATCTTCATGTCCTTAATGCTGAAGTAGCAATAAGCTGATTTTATGTCAAATAGTCTCTGCTATAACGACTGGGTGTGTCATAAAACTTCAAATGCAGTTGTAACTTGTAAGTTAACCGATTCAAACATAGCATATGTTATAAGTTATAACAAGGAGAGACTCCGATCCAATGCCTCAACAAATGAATCCAGCAAAACATTTCTACAGAAAATGATAGTGAGAAAGGTTTTTTTATTCGACAAATTGGGAAGACCAACTCATTTAACTAGAACATCTCTAACTCAGTTCAATCAATTTATTCATTAATTGAGCCAGGAGATATGTGACTACCAGCTGCTTCCTCTTATCAAATATGGATACTATGGTAGAAAATATGAGTAGAACAAGTAGGGAAAAATGACCAATTGAACATTTGATGCAGAAGACAATGGCAGCGAATCTCTGAGCTATCAGGTTAGAGTTGCTCCAAACCGACAAGGTTTACTTCAACTAAGTACTACTATTAAGATGCGCATAAAGAATGTGTACTTAATGTCAAATGGAGAACAATCTGGAAGCAACGAGTTAACTGTTGCTTTAAAACCTGTTATGAGAAAACTGGCGTTGCGGAGAAACTTCATCGAAGAAAAGGCTGAAAGGAGGGGCATTTGTTTTGTACTGACCCAGGACCAAAGAGAAGAGAGATGTTTTTTTTATTTTATGCTGTGGGATAGAGAAGTAAAATAACCGTAAAACAAGTTAAAAGCAAACACTCTATTTCACTCTTGGAATATGAAAAGTTTTCTCTTTAAAAGCTTCCTTGTGTAGATTCCTGCGATGAATCCAAAAGAACCCACAAATATAAACACACCATATCCTATTCCTGAAAAGAAAACAGCCTCCCAAAGATGACCTCAAGGTCTTATTCTTGAGCTATGATCAACTTCCAACTCTTTCAACTCAAAGTAAATGTTGATTTCTGCAGGTCTGACCAAAATGAGAAGGAACCAAAGTGAACCAAGAGGATGTTTTTGGCCAGCATTTCTCAGAGACTTGTACGTTAATTTACTTAGTCCATCTTGAAATGTCCACTAATTGTGTCTTACACATCGAACAGCAGCCCTAGTTTGGACCTTTATTTCGTGAACTACGTTTGACTTTTTTCTTTTTAACACAAAGTATATGTTGACACTAGGCATAAATGTAAATAAGGTCTTTCATCCTGAAATTATGGTTTCGCACATTATAGCAGGTCAAAACAAGGAGGAGCACTGGTGCAGACTGCAGACATCATTGAAAGGGCTTGAATGTAAGCTACTTAGAGAAACAGTTCTGCTCGTATGACCAAAACCTAAGAGAAACTGGCAGTTTACCGAAGCTGATAAACAACTTTTATTTCCTGCGGCCATAAAGTCACCACTCATTCAGAAAAACTCACGCTATTGTAAAAACAACACATCAACTTTCTGACTGTATAACTCAAGTAATCCACTAAGAAATTCCATATTTTCATTAATCCACCTGCAGAGGCAGTCTTGTTAAAGTGGACGAGAGATGGCGTTTGCCATAAGCATCTTATGTTAAAGGTGAAACTAGAAAGATCAGCAGCGTGCCCCATGAGGCCATGAATGTCAGGCACATTATGTTGTTAAATAACTTGATGATGCAACTTTACCTATTTTTTTCCAGTTTTTGCCCTTAAAACGTTGGACAGCTTTGCGTAGGATCTCGTCCTGAAAGAGAAAAGGATTTGTGTTGTTAAGATATATAAAACAAAAGGTTGAAATCTATACTGAAATTGGTCATACTACACCACATGTATGTAGAAAACGAAAATCGAAACCTAGGGATTTCAGAAGGAGCCTTAGAAGTCAAGAACTAATGCATATAAAACTTCAACTAAGATGTCCAATCAATAGGCATCTACCACATAGGACACTTCAAGCGTTCTTTCTACATAGTGAATTCTCAATCAAATTAAATCCTTGCTATCATGTAGATTCAAATTGAGTACCGTTGAATGTATAGATCATGAGAAATTAGCAATAGACCCTTCGAAGAAAAGGGGGAACCAGATATTTTTGGGCTATATTTATACAAGTTAAGGAGGCTATCTGCCGCTGCTAGGTAGGAAAATGGACAAAAACAGTCAGGCCCATATGTTTCACTGTGCCTGCCAGCATGCTTTGTGATATTTGGAATGAAAGAACAAGAGAAGGTTGTATGTCTATACGTACTATTTTTAAGGACAAACTGAAAGATGTACACAACGTAGATAATCCTTTTGAGTTCCTACATGCTATAGTAACTATACAGAAACTGTACAATACACTCTCCTTTTTTGTATCACACGCTGTACAAATCAGCATTTTCTTATTGCTATATCGATGAAGAGGGTGTTTGGTTAGCATTTTCTTATTGCTATATCGATGAAGAGGGTGTTTGGCTAAGCTTATAAGCTGGTCAAACCGGCTTATAAGTACTTTTTGGCTTATCTACGCGTTTGGTAAAATTAAAAGTGCTTATAAGCCAAAAGCAATAAGTTGGTCTCCCCCAGCTTATCAAATTTCAGCTTATAAGCACTTTAAGTTTGACCAAAATATTTACTATTCTATCCCTAAAATACTTCTTTTTAAAACAAAACTCTTCGTATATTCAGTTCTTCAGCTACATATTATTAATTTCAGCACTTTTATCCAAACACATAACTGCTTATTTTTTAAATCAGCTTCAGCACTTAAAAGTGTTTTTCAGTACCTAATGCTTATCAGCTACTCCAAATAAGCTAAGCCAAAAGGGCTCGAAGTTATGTTACTTATCAAAAACAGATATTCCTGGGCTTTATGTGGAAACAGTTACCTGAAAGAGTTACCGTACAAATTCAGTTTCTTTTATGAATATTAAAGAAATACCATAAACCTATTTAAAGTTTTAAAATATGTAGCAGCTAGCAGTCATCACTAATGCCCTCTTAGCATAATTTTCTACTACCCAAAAGCATGGACAGCTCAATCAACTATGTCACAATGCAAACGAGTTGGGATCAGTGATAAGAATCCTATCTCTATGTATATATTCTTCCCTATGAGGATTCATCAAAATTTGATTATTGTAACTCCCCCCTCTTTTGTTTGTACTAGGGACCTATGCCTCATAGGCATGGACAAGAACTTTTAATTAGGTTCAACCATTTTGACCATATTCATATTGTTATAGTGCTTGTGACAGTTTCCATCCTAGGAACGTATTACCACCATCTCCCAACGGAGGAAAAGAAAATTTTAGTAAGGAAAAAGAACAAAAAGGAAAAGCACATGCATTTAAAAAAGTAACTATCCATTGCTTACCAAAATGAAAGGAAATAAATAAAGAATAGCTTGAATGAAAGAAATTTCGACTTTTTTTCGATGGAGGAAGTGCCCACTTACTTCTTCAGTAGTCCACTGCCCCTTTGTCGAACGTCTCGTAGGACCACTAGTTCTCCTGTTAATATTAGCACCAGATGAGAGGGTAGTTCAGTATTCAACACGCTATTCAAGTGAGATTTATTGAGGTTAGTAATCTGTCTCAAAATTCATCTCAATAGCCTTGTCATGCCCTATCCACTAAAAGACGGAAGGGTTTGTGTAACATAGCAGTTCGATAAAGAAAGTGCACAAAATCACATAATGGCACTCAAAATATATGGTATGAAAGAAGCAATGGTCCAGTGCTTTGAAAATTACCCATGCAAAGGCCGAACTCTTTGGAGACTACTGCTAGTGCCATCTGAAGGAGTGCTTATTCTATCACTTTCCATAGTTGTTTGACACAAAGGCAAATCTGCATAACCCGCCACCCAAAGGTTGATAATTCTCTCCAGAATGTCTTCTCCAATTCATTATATGCCACCCTAAGATGTTGGATCTCCTACCTGCATAACAAAATGCATGGCCCATATTAGGGCAAAAACAACAACATTGTGATTGCTAAAAAGCATGAGATAACTATTAAAGAAATAATAACCATTCAAAGAGGCCTCGACTGCCTCATTTATCATTATGCCACACCTGCTCTTTCATGAACAAACCAAAAGTCCCAGTTTCAGCAATTAAGTATATTTCATGCTAATTCTTATAGTTTTGGAAGTAAACTAGCTTTTAACTTTATGTTGTTCAATTTGTGCAATGTCCTAATTGTATATAGTTCTAAAGAATCCATTTCACATGAAGTTTATTTAATTGAAAAGCAAGAAATTCGACAAACAAAGGAAAGAAAATCCAGCATATGAATTCCTACTGAATCGACGAAAGCATAGAAAACGTCCACCCTTCTTACCATTCAAGTATTCTAAGCCATGTGGGGTCAATGAATGCTATACAATCAACTTATCCTTTTGGGTGTCATGATCAGAAAGAAGAGAATATAGCATACAATTTAATGTGAAATGACAAGTTTTAATAAGCTAGGTTGTAAACGTTGAACTGAATTTAAAACTTTGCTGTCAACTCATTAATATTAATTCTTTTTGTCTTTCTTTGAGGTCTAAATTAATATTGAGATTTAATTCTTAGCCCCTTTCAATTTTCTTCTCTTGATTAATAAATTTCAAAAATCACCTATGCACAAATACTAAAACAAAGTAAAGCCGCAGCTCTCTTAATAAATATAGTCAGCTTCCTTCAAACTGAAAAAGTGAAAGCCATATCTATAAAAGCTACATTATCATCGACGCCACAAATCATAAATTGAGGGTTCAGTAAGAAAACACACAAATATAGGTAAAGAATACGCTAAACGAAATCAGCAAAATCAACAGCAATCTCAAGAAAGATCAAGAATAAGAAATTACTAAAATGACCCAACAAAAAGAATCTGATCAAACTCATTGGTTTCCTTATTAATTCAGGTGTAATTTTTAAAATAAAAATCAAATTAGGGTTCAAAGATACAACTTTTCACAAAATCAGGATTCAAACTTTATGATACCCAAATACCCAAGAACTCATTAATTAACAAATCACTCAAACCCAAAAAAAGATAATTAAAGAAAACCAATTACCCATCAAATTTTTCAAGGAAAATAAAAAGATAGTAAAAAAGGTCACTTACCGAACTCAGCTTCAAAAAATCCAAGAAAACCAATGGAGTAATAAAAACAAAACACATTTGCAGATCCCAAATACAAAAAGGACAAAAATTCAGAGATGACTTGTAAGATCTGCAAATGCACTGATAAAAATTTAGAGAGAGAAAGTCTAGTCCAGAGAGAGAAAGAGAGGTGGGAATGTGGTGTTGTTTGAAGAAAATAATGAGAAAAACGGTCTCTTAGGAAATTCAAATGTTAAGGGAGGGCGGAGTATAGGGTTTTTAAGGTTTCAAAAACATATTTGGGACTGGTCAACGGTGGATAATTTGTATGTAAAGTAATCTCAGCCGTCCGATTGGTTTTATTTTTGATAAGTTTTCAAATTTTGTCAATGTTAACGGGCAAGTTTTTACCTGCTACCTGCTTTTGCTATTTCCTCTCTCTTTTCGCTTTTTAAAAAGCAGGCAAAGGCAACTCTTTTTTTTTTCTTTTTTTCAAGGAGGCTAGATTTAGTAAGAAACTAAATTTAGCTCCAAGAAATGCCAATTTATAAGATTGTCCCTCCCATTTTATATAACGTTTTTTTTACTGTGCATAAAGTTTAAGAAATTAAAAAAAATTGAAGCTTTTTATATAAAACTAATAGATATTAGTGGCTACAAATCATAAAATGTGAAGTACATCAAAATACGAGAATGTATCATTTTTTTTAAATCCATATTCACCATAAAAAAAAATACATCCCAAAGTTTTATTCTTCCAACATTTTGAAATTTAATGTTTTCAAAGAAAAATTTAATCGCTTAGAAGTCGTAGCATACACGACGTAGGTCATTATTAAGATATAAATTGCGACAAGTTTAAAGGGGACTAAGGGTGTGTTTGGTATGACAGAAAATACTCTCTGAAAAATATTTTTTCATTTTCCACTATTTGATTGCACAGAATAATTTGAAAAATATTTTTTTTAGGTATTACATTTTTCTGAAATTGGAGGAAAATGACTTCCCTAGAAAAAAGTTAGGAAAACATTTTTCAAAAACTCTACCTACCCTTACATCTAACCCCAACCCCCTCCCCTTCTCTCCCCTAGCCCACCTCTCTCACCCCCTCTCTTCAAAANTTATTTTATTTTTTGTATTTTTAATTTTCTATTTTTTCGTTTTCTGCACCACCCACCCACCCCAATCCCCTCAGCCCCTCTCACCCGCGGCAAAAAATATTTTTTTTTATATTTTCAGTTCTGGTTTTTTATTTTTTAGTTTACAGGTTTGAAATTTTACGAGTTCCAAAGTTATGAGTTTGCATGTTTATGTGTTTGGAAGTTTGCGGGTTTAGAAAATATGGAGTTTACGAGTTTAAAACGTTATAGGTTCAAAAGTTTACCAGTTCAGCCGACCGACGAGTAACTAGCGGCGGAGCCACGCCCTGAAGAATTCATTCCCGAAGGGTGCGTCCTTGACTCTGACTTCAAGGTTGAAAAGACCCCCTAGGCTGCGGGCCGATGTGAGCCAATGTCGGCTAAGACGAGGAAGTTTTTTCTTTCTGCGGAACAGTTTTAGATGTTTTGACCATTTTATTTTTGTGAACAAGAGAGAACAAAGATTGGGATATTTGGTATTTTGGGAAGACAAATAAAGAAACTCAAAATCTTGAAAGTAAAAGGTTCTATAGAAGGCAAAGGAATATGAAGATAGAAAGTAAAGTTTGGGCAAGACAAGGAATATACATTTATAGGTTGAAGACGACGGTTCAGAATCGATAATGGCCGACAATAACTGATAGGCATTAAATGCCTCGACATCCGAACGGACGGGACATTTCGGTGCCCAGTTATCGCGGACGTCATGGTCGGGCTCGTCACTTATGTCATGGAAAACCAAGGGGAAATTCGAAGACTCAATTCGTTTCTTGTCATTACACTCCAAAAAACGAGGGGACTATCTGTATATAGTCAAAGTCGGGCAAGCCTAATTTTGTATGACTAACCGAAATTGGGGTGACAGATCAAGGCTCAGTCTCGGTTATATCAAACCATGGTACGAAGATGGATCGGTGAGCTTGTGGATCAATGACCGATCAAGATCGAGACCAGCCGGGATCGAGACTAAAGCGAGAAAGAGATCGAAGGGAGCCTGCTAAGCCGAATAAATGAAAGCCGAGATATCCGTGATCGGGCAAGGACCGCGGCACGTATCAAGTCAGGACTGGTTATTTAGTCTATTATGAGATTTGCTTCTGTAATTAGAATTGTACCATAAATAGAATTCCTCTACTATATAAAGAGGGTCCTGGTCATTTTGTATTCATCATACACTCATGCATAATCAAGCAATACATTATATTTTTTTTCTTGCAAGCTCTATTGTTCAGTTCATACTTTTCAATAGCACACTCAGTTGTTTCGAGGGTGACTTAGCTCGAGGGCCATAGTTGTTCATCACAGTGGTTTTCTTTATTTTACTATTAATTTCTAACATTAATTCTTATATTTATCATTTTGTGCCAAGTAAAATCACATATCCTTAAAACCACTTATAAGTTTAATTGTTATCCAATTTTAAGGGTAAACAGTTTGGCGCCCACCATGGCATCGATCATACGATCAATGTTAGGCAAGGGAAAAGAATCCTTGGGGCATGCTTTATTCAGGTCTTTATAATCTACATACATTCTAAGTTTGTTTCCCTTCTTTGGGACTACCACTACGTTTGTTAACCATTCGGGATACTTTGCTTCTCGAATGGATCCTATTTTGAGAGTTTGGTTATCTCATCTTTGATGAAAGCGTGCTTTACCTCGGACTGAGGCCTCCATTTCTGTTTCACCAGGTGAAACTTCGGGTCCAAGCTTAATTTATGAGTAGTGATCTCTGGTGGGATCCCTGTCATATCGAGATGGGACCAGGTAAAATAATTCATATTAGCTTTAAGAAATTGAATAAGTTTTTTCCTTAAGCTCAGGAGTTAACCCCGTGCCCAGTTATACCTTTCGATCGGGCAGATGCTCGATTAGTATGATTTGTTCCAGCTCTTCGACTGTTGATTTGTGGCATCAGAATCATTGGGGATTATAAAGTATCGAGGTATCATATAATCATCATCCCCGTAAGTTCCTTGCTCCTCCGGTTGGCTCGAGGCTGGTGGTTGTGGTTGACCTCCTGCTTTACCTTTGAATATGATCCATTTGTTATTGAAAGTGTCGGTATCGGTATCACTTCATCGATTGCAAACATTTCCTTAGCAGCAGGTTATTCCCCGTACACTATTTTAACTCCATCAGATGTCGAGGAAACTGCCCTCATGTTATGGATCCAAGGCCTTCCGAGCAGGGCATTGTACCTCATGTCACCCTCTATTACATGGAACTTTGTTTCCTGGATGGTCCCGGCCATGTTCACTGGCAAAATAATCTCGTCTTTGGTGGTTTCGCTCGCCATGTTGAAGCCATTAAGTACTCGGGTTGCGAGCACAATTTGATCTTGTAGGACGAGTTATTTTATGACCCTCGATTGAATAATGTTGGCCAAGCTACCTAGATCAATCAAAACACGTTTAACTTGAATTTTAATCATAAGGACAGATATTATCAGTGCGTCGTTATGAGGTTGTTCGAATCCCTCTTGCATCCTCGTTCTTCTCGTAATCAGTCACGTGTTCACTTTTCCCTTGTGATCGTCACCTTGGTGCATTTAAATATCGGTCCTTGAGGAATATCGATCCCTCTAACGATCATGTGAATCACGTGTTGTGGCTCTTCCTGCTCGTGTTGTCTGTTCGGATCCTGTTTTTGAAGTGGTTCTTGGCCCGATCACTTAAGAATTCTCGAAGATGCCCCTTGTTGAACAATCGGGCTACTTCATCCCTGAGCTGTCTGCAATCTTCTATTTTATAGCCATGGGTGCCATGATACTTGCATATTTGGTTTGGGTTTCTCTGGGCCGGATCGGTCTGCAGAGGTCGAGGCCACCTGGTATCTTTGATACGCCCAATGGCCGATACTATGCCAGAAGCATCTACGTTGAAGTTATATTCTGACAATCGAGGTGCTTCTTCGGACCCGACATCCCTATCGGAACCACTCTTGCTCATGAGACCTCGAGAGCTTCTTCCCTCATCATTCCTTCTATCATTCCGAACGAGGTTGCGTCCAGGCCCGTTATTTCTCCGATCTTCACCGTATGGCTGATATTTAGTCTCTGTTCGACCGTGGTTCCCGGTTGAAGTCCATTTTAACTCTGTCCATGGGCTTGTTAGGATAAACCGAACCGGTTGGATCCCCTAGTTGATCATCCTCGACCCTGATCTTTGACTGATACCAATTATGTACATCAGCCCAAGGGACAGCTAGATATTCGATCAAATTCTTCTTCAACTACTGTGAAGCTACGGAACTCCGAGTGTTGAGACCTTGAGTAAAAGCTTGAACAACCCAACCGTCGGTGACCAGTGGCAAATCCATTTGTTCCATTTGGAATCAAGATATGAATTCCCTGAGCATATCGTTGTCTTTCTGTCTTACCTTGAAGAGGTCCGACTTTCTGGTAGCGACCTTAATGGCTCTGGCGTGTGCCTTTACAAAAGCATTTGCAAGCATATCAAATGAATCAATAGAATTATGTGGTAAATTATGGTATCATATCATAGCACCCTTCGATAGAGTCTCCCCGAACTTCTTCAGCAATACAGACTCAATCTCGTCATCTTCCAAGTCATTTCCCTTGATGGCGCACATGTATGAGATGACATGCTCATTTGGATCTGTGTCACGTTATACTTCGGGATCTCGGTCATACGAAATTTCTTGGGGATTGGCTTCGGAGCCGCACTCGGGGGGAAAGGTTTCTATACAAACTTTTTTGGAATCTAGTCCTTTCAATATCGGTGGTGCCCCCGGATTTGGTCGACCTTGGAGTTATAAGTTTCCACTTTCCTCGATCTTCTTTTCTCCTGTCTCGATTCGCTTTTTCAGTTCCTCCAGCATCTTTACAATAGCAGGACTGATTTCTGATTCTCCTTTATTCGAGATTGGCACTGATTCGGCTCTAGGAACAATTTCTTATGATGGCTCGGGCTCGATCCTGCTAGGTGCACGATTCAGATTTTGGAGTTGCGCTATTGCATCCTGTTGAGTCTGCAGTATTTCGAATATCATTTGAAGGCTAATCCCACCTTCTTCACTGCTTTATGCATTCTGATCGGCTGTTCGAGCATCTCTGCAAATGCTATTTTCAGGATCGACTGGTAAT